GTGTGTGTGTGTGTGTGTGTGTGTGTGTGTGTGTGTACCTGAATGGATGGGTATGTGTGTGTGCACACCCAAGGAGGAGATCTGGAGGGGTGCACACCTGGGGTTGTGTAAAAAGTGTGCACCTGGTGCGTGTATGTGCATACGTGCACCTGAATGGATGGGTGTGGGGTGTGTGTGTGTGTGTACCTGGCAAGTCCAGACAGTGCCACAGGCCACACATGTGCCACTTTTCTCAGAAACAAGAATGTCATTCTATTTAAAACTTGATGGGTCTAATGACTAAATGGCATACCCATAACCTGGTGTTTCTGCCTTTCTTCTCTGGCACTTGGGTACAAAGGTGGATTGATCCGGCACTCTCCTTATTGGGCTACTGTCACTGCCAGGGTGAGCGCTTCTCACTTGGTCCCACGTTTCCCACACTCCAATCACGCCCGTCAGGAACCCCGGTGTGATGTGTGGTGTTTGCCCTCAGACAGGATGCATGTATCCACAGATGTGTCGTATTGCTTTGCTTGTGAGAGTTTTAAATTCATGTAAGTGATTTTGTGCTGTAAATATTCTCTTACTGGGGCAGCTGGGTGGCTCAGTCAGTTAAGCGTCCGACTGTTGGTTTCAGCTCAGGTCACGATCTCACGGTTCATGGGTTCATGGGTTCTCTCTCTCCCTCTCTCTCTGCCCCTTTTGCACTCGCACTTGCTCTCTCTCAAAATAAATAAACTTTAAAAAATAAAAAAAAATTCTCTTACTATTTTGTTTTACATATTTTGAGGTCATGTCCCTCGTTAGGTACATAAAATTTAGAATTCTTTTGTCATCTTGGTAAATTTAACCTTTTATCATTAAGAAGTGTTACTCTGTTTCCAGTAATGCTTTTTGCCCTAATCTGTAAGGCTCGGTCTGGCATTAAGAGAGCTGAGCCAGCTTGCTTTTCGTTCACTGTTGCTTGTGTGACATAGGTTTTCATCTGCACCAGTACGTACCAGCCTCTCAGCTTCTGACCTGTTGTCAGCTCACCGAGCTGCTCAGGAACTCTACAAACCACATTTCTGTGTTCTCAGCTGCTCCCTGTTTCTGTGGAGAAGCCAGCTTATTTTTACTTGTTTTAGGTATTTGGGTTTCCCCCCACTTTGGGAAGCTTTCAAGATCTTCTTGTCGTGTTTGGTTTCTGGGGTTTGCTTTTTCTTCATATTTATCATGTTCGGAGTTTGTGATGCTTCTAGAATTTGTGCCTTGCCTCCTTGGTTTTTGAAAACGGTCAGCCTGTGTGCCCATAAACACTGCACTCGTCACCTTCCTTCTCTGCTGTCCGTTCAGTTTCCCTGGTCCACGCAGGGGGTCTTCTGTCGCGTCCCCTCCGCCCCCAGCAGCCTGTTACGTACACTCTCTTCTTTTCCCTCCATGCTTTCTTCTGGATATTTCCTTCCGATCTTCCCGGTTACTAATTCTCCTTAGCCATATCTAATCTCTGTTTTTAAGTGTATTTTTTAGCTCTAGAATTTCCATTTGGTTCTTTTAGTTTCCTGTCCTCTATCAAAATTCTCAATCTTGTTTATGCCCGTAGACATGTGTAAATTCCTGAGTCTGTCAGTGACCCTCGTTTGCCTGTATTGGTCTCTGTCTGTTCCTAGCCAACACCGGGCTGTTTTATTACCGTGACTTCCTGTAACATCTTAACATCCGGCGGGGTGAGTTCTTTGATCTTGGTTTTCAGAATGAGTTACATTAGACCTTTACGTTTCCACGTGGACTTTAGAAACCCATAGGTTCTCAATTAGTTTACTCGGGCCACCGTGACAAAGTGCCACAGACCCAGCAGGGTCTGGCGGTCTGAGACAGGCGTGGGCAGGGCTGGATCCTTCTGAGGCCTGTCTCCTTGTGAGAGGGACGGCTCCTCTCACAGACGGCAGCCTTCTCCCCACGTCCTTGCAGTGCCGTCCGTGTGCGTGTCTGTGTCCTGATCTCCTCATCTTATAGGGACACCTGTCAGATTAGGTCAGGGCTTGCCCTATGACCTCATTTTACCACAATTGCCTCTGTAAAGGCCCTATTTCCAAATACAGTCATATTCTGAGGTTCTGGGGATCAGGACTTCAACACAGAAATTAGGGAGTTTGAGCCTCTGGGGATCGAGAGGGTCTGATGGAAGCTAAGAGAGGTCACATCACGTCACAGCTGAGGTCATGGAGCCCACCTCTAAAGCCATCAAGAGGGCCTGGTGTCCCCAAGTGGAGTGGCTGGGGTAAAAGCCCGGTTGGGAGGGGAAGAGGTCGTAGTCGCGAGACAGACCTGGACAGCAAGATAGCACCCTTTCAAGCCCCAGAGCCGGACCCAGCAGGGACTGGAAAGGCCGGCTGGCTGGGGCAGTGGGGCTCCAAGTGACCTTGCTGTGGGGTGGCCACCGTGAGGGCGGGAAGATGAGGCACCCTGGGGACCTGGAGAGCCATCCTCTCCTCTCTGGGCCTCCCCGTGGAGAGCCCTGGACACCAGATCTCGAGCTCAGGGCCTGCCACAGCATTCCGTGGTCCCCGCGTCCGGGACACATCACCTGGGGCAGAACGGGAGAGGGGGAGGGGGGAGGGG